AATATACTTTTAAATGTTTGCTGTTTTCATTTAATCTGTTTTACTCTCCAAGATGCTGATTCCATCAATTCTGATTCCTTCATCTTTTCTGGGGAGAGCAGTCAGAATTTTCTGTACAAAACCAGATAATCTGGTGACAGGTTTATTTATTTACTTGTTATATTCTGTCTTTCTGTTGAAACTGAATACCTAAGGCAGTTTTCAGTATAAATGCAAAGACATAAAATGTTTTAAAAAATTAAAGTAAATAATAAAATTGTTGGCATTTAAAGGCACAGCAGAAGAGATGTGTATTAATCCTTTAAAGGCAGAGAGAGATGGGACCAAACACAGCTTCTAAAAAACTGCATTCAGTAGGGTGGGAGTAATGCAGGACAAGGCTTAATAAATGGACTTCTGAAAGTAGCTACAAATGAGTCCTGTTGCAAATCTTAAAACCAGACAAATTAACAAGAGAGACTGATCGTTAAGCTCTGAATGTAATTAGCTACCAATACAGAATATTTTATAAGGTAATCATGTGATCCAAATGATTGTGCACCATCTAGCAGCCTATCTGACAATGTTTTTTATAAAGATAGAGCTTTTGGAGATTCTTCAAGGATAGTCAAATCAGGTGTAACCAAGACATGAATAACTGACACCCATTTCATCTGGCTTAGGAACAGTTACAGGAACAGTTAAATGTATTCCTTGCTATAGCCACCACCTCGGAATCCAAATATTAAGGAACAAATATCCAGCCCGCGCCCCTCCTCTGTGGGGTGCCCGAGGGTTCGTTACTCTCTCAGCTCCTTTTTAACATCTACGTGAAACCACTGGATGAGATCATCTGCCACCATGGGATGAGGTATCATCAATAATCCCCCATTGTGGGGAGATGGGTGGGGAAAAGTCTAGTAAATAAATAAATAAAAAAAAAATATGCAGATGATACCCAGTTATACATCTCCATCCCGAGTAAAGTGAGTGATGCCATGACCACCCTTTTGGGGTGCCTGGAGGCTGTGAGAGTCTGGATGGGGTGCAACAGACTTCAGCTGAACCCTGGTAGGACAGAGTGGGTATGGATTGGAAGCTCCTCTGTTTCTGAGGATTTACCATCCTTGGTTTTGGATGGGGTTGTACTGCCCTGGACAGACCTAGTGCGTAATTTGGTGGTCCTCCTGGACTCACAACTCCTGCTCAAGGAGCAGGTGGCAGCCGTGGCCAGGAGGGCCTTTGCCCACCTTCGTATGGTACGCCAGTTACACCCTTTCCTGGATCAGGAGGCTCTCCAGTCAGTCATGCATGCCCTGGTCATCTCTCAGCTAGACAATAGCAATACGCTCTATATGAAGCTACCTTTGAAGAGTATCCAGAAGCTATAACTGGTTAAAAATGCAGCCACACAGACATCTTAGTTGCCCCAAGAACGGCACATAATACACCTTTACTGCGTGAGCTGCATTGGATGCCAGTTTGCTTCCGGGTCCAATTCAAAGTGTTGGTTATTACATTTAAAGCCCTACATGGCATGAGTTCAGGGTACCTGAGGGACTGTCCCACCCTCATCACATCAACCTGTCCCACCCAGTCAGAGAGGGCATGTTGCGGACCCCATCAGCTGGTGGGGCCCAGGAGGAGAGCCTTTTTTGTCGTTGCCCTTGCCCTTTGGAATATTCTCCCCGCAGAGAAGTAGCAGGCCCCTACCTTCCCAGCTTTCCGGAAAGGATTAAAGACCTGGCTCTGCCAGCTTGGGTGGGGTGATAACAATCTTACGCAATCTTGGGAGTGGCTGGCACCTTGATGATGCTCCCCAAGTGACTGCCAATGTTAACATCTATCCTTGGATCTATTTATTCTCTATTTATTTAAGATTATTATATATTGTAATTTTAATTGATTTTAACCGCTTAGTAAACTGCCCAGAGTCGTTTCAACGAGATGGGTGGTGACAAATTTGATACATAATAAACAAACACTCTCAGGCTGCAGATTTGTTCTTTCAGAGAGAATGTAATCCCATCCAGAATGGACTGAATACCAATTCCTATTTTCTAATAGTATTTGACTAATAGTATTTCTATCTTGTCTGAATTTCATTTCAGTTTGTTCTGTTTGTCATCCCTTATCCAGTTCATTTTCAATTTAGGCTACATTCAAAATTATGGATTACTTCCTTGAAATTAGAAGACAGAGGAATAGAACTGGGTGTCATCAGCATGCAGATACCACTCCACCACAAAGCTCTATGGATCTTCCCATCAGTTTCATGTAGGGGAAAACCACAGTGCATTAACCATAGTGCTGAACAGTAGCCCTAGCACCACCTCCTGCAGATAAATCAAACACTATTAAAATGTGCTTCTAAAGTCTAGCACCACCAGAATATTCCAATATAATAGTCAGTTATAGTGAAAGCCACTGGGATATACAGAAGAACTAGTAGGGCTGGCCTCCCTTCATACAGTTTCTGGTATAGGTCATTCAGCAATGCTATCAAAGCAGTTTCAGTCCAATAACCTATTTCCAATGTACTTGTCCAGAAATTCTTAATACTTCAAAACAATTTGCATTAGTGCATTTCTTTTCAGCAATTCTTGTATTTGCATATTTTAAAATTTCTATCAGTGTAAGAAAAAAATACTATATTGGATCAAATCAAGGTCTTTCTAGTCCTGCATTTTGTTCTATAGTGACTAATGGGGCAGATAAGATGTGTGGTGTAGTAGCATCTCTCAAGCAGTTAGTACTGGGAGACATACTGTCTCTATTATAGAAAGTAATATGCAGCCATAATGACTTCATAGTCTACAACCTTTTGTGAATTCCAGTAGTTGAGAGTAGAACAATACCTTGTCAATATTTATGGGTCCATCTTGTGACAGCCGTGACATAGAAAGTTGTGACTTGGGATATAAGAGAAGTAAATGGTAAAGAGCATGAATGAATGAATGAATGAAAAAAAAACTAATATGTAGTGTGTTTATGAAATAAAGGAAAAGATGTAATAGATTTGAATAAAGGTGTCTGATCTATGGAGTGGAACTGATGAATATATTTGTGGAAGTGAAGGTATACATTTATTAATGAACAAAAGGCAAAAGTATACGTCAGTATGAGTTGGAGTCATCTAGGTTGTTGTGGATATGTATGAAAGTAACAGTTCATAGGATGGTGATAGTTGCATTATTTATTTATTTATTTATTTATTTATTAAATTTGTCCCCGCCCATCTCCCCCCAATGGGGGTCTCTGGGCAGCTTACAACATATTAAAACAATAAATCAATATACAGTTAACATTTCTAAAAGGACACATTTACAAAGGATAAAAGGAAAAGGAAAAATCCAGGAGGCCGATGGAAGCAACACCAGGCCTCTAGGGGGCT